AAGAGCGATTATCACCATCTTCTCTCGAGTATCCCTTGAAGAACTAGAGGATGAAGAGCTAACAGGGACTCCGGCAAGGATGGCTCGCGCTTTCTCTACTCTTTCGAGGGAGAAGTTCTTTCTCCAATTAACCTTCCGCGCCGAAAGAGAGTCTCGAACAGTAAAAATGTCGTCGGGAATCGGGGGAAGATAGCAACAAACTGCAAAACAAAGCAAAAAGCAAAAGTCTCAGAAAAGGAAGAGAATATCAACTGAATCTCCGAGCCGAGGCAAAGCTTCGGGTCGGCTACCAAGTGGTCCCCAAGCTGTCTTGGTTCGGTGAACGTAATCTTCGCCGACCGACGCCTCGTTCACCAAGACGTAGAAGAAGCGTTCAGTCCAAAACTGATCCTTGCTGGGGAAACCGCCAATGATCCGTCGCTTCGTCTTGTTGGAAATATAGAACCTATTTCCTTTCGGAGCTTTCCTGATTTCCAGCAAGTTCAGCAGGTGGTTCAGCTCGATGTCGAGACCGCATTCGAAACTTCGGACTAAAATGCCAATCATATGCCGTAATCCCCTCGGCATAATCTGCCCAATCGAGATCCCGTGTTTCCAAAGGTATTCGAGGATCACTCCGGGGATCGGGAACCAGAGGAAGCAAAGCTCGAAGAACGCCTCGTACAGAGTAAAATGATTCTCTGGAGGGTTGTCGGCTCGGTCGCTCTTCTCTGGAACGACGAACTCCACCGCCTCGGATATTCCAAAGCGATGCCTCAAAGCCTCGAGCGACTCAAGGGAGCGGAGTGTAGATCCAGGCAGGTCAGGTTTTTGCCTCTTAACTCTCCGCCCTCGCCCAGATGTGGAAGCGCCTCGGGACGCCATGAGGCGTTCCAATTCAAGCTTCGCCTCGAAAAGATCAAAGGGAAATGCCTCCTCCTCGGCCTTGAGTGCGGCGCGGTTAATGTCCTCGTTAGGAACGGGATCCTGGGGACGGCTCGTCGAAACCGACGGCTCGCCATCCGGAGAGCCGACATCTGATGGGTTTTCATGGTTTGACGCTTTGTCAGATGAGTGATTGGAGGGGCTCGGCGAAGCAGACGCCTCGGAGGATTCTGCCATAACCTCTCGCCTCGGCGTCTACGCGGCTCGGCTCGTAGTGAAAAAGTGAATCCAACGAATCGTCGGAACAGCTCGACATAATTTACGACTTTTACAAGAGATACAGCACGACTCGGCGAGCCTCTGCCGGAAAAAGATCTAGAACGGCGGAGACCTCGGAAACCCTAGCCGGAAAATAAATAAACTAGACAGAGAAAGAAGAGAGAAGGGAGAGCTACCTTTAGTGAAAACGAGTGAGTCGGGAAATAATGAGGAAGAGTGAAGGAGCTCACCTATTTATAGAAAAACGAAGCGCGTGAATTCCGCGTAAACCTCGGGAAGCCGTCCAACAGCGCGTGGGATCCGCGGTGAATCGGCTATACCGGGCTGCGTCGTTGGCACGCGCCGAAAGATTAGGAATTTCCTCTCGAAAGACCAACAGTCAGGGTACCCAGGTTAACGAAACGGCTCGGTATTGACTCTTTCTCTCTCGAAACGCCTCATCGTTAACGAAACGGCTCGGCATTGAATCTATTCTCTCGAAACGCCTTGTCGTTAACGAAACAGCTCGGCATTGAGTCTATTCTCTCGAATCGCCTTGTCATTAACGAAACAGCTCGGTATTGACTCTTTCTCTCTCGAATCGCCTCGTCGTTAACGAAACACCTCGGCATTGAATCTGTTCTCTCGAAACGCCTCGTCGTTGACGAAACGGCTTGGCATTGAATCTGTTCTCTCGAAACGCCTCGTCGTTGACGAAACGGCTCGGCATTGAATCTGTTCTCTCGAAACGCCTCGTCGTTAACGAAACGGCTCGGCGTTGAATCAGTTTCTTGAAGCGCCTCGTCGTTAACAAAACGGCTTGGCCCTGACATTCTTTCTTGAGACGTCTTGCCGCTAACAAAACAGCTCGGCGCGAGCTTTCTCTCGAAACGCCTCGCCATTTGTTCGGCTCGGCATAACCTCCTCAAATCACCTCGTCATGGGCTATCACTATTAAAAAAAAATCGCCTCGTCCTTAATCTTGCCTCGGCACTCCTTGGGAACGCCTCGGCGTCTTCATTCCCAGAACGCCTCGGCGCCTTCATTCCCAGAACGCCTCGGCATCTTCATTCCCAAAACGCCTCGGTGCCTAACTCAGTGGTTTATCCTACGGTCGGAAATAATGGACCTCGTCACTCTCGCCTCCAAAACTGACGAGCTGGGGGGCTAACTGTTGGGGTCGGTTTTCACTCCAAGTAGATAAACCACCTCAGAATGGCTAAGTATGGAAGAAAGATAAGTGGGAGAGCCGTGGTCGCCAAGTGGGAGAGCCGTGGTCGCCAAGTGGGAGAGCCGTGGTCGCCAAGTGGGAGAGCCGTGGTCGCCAAGTGGGAGAGCCGTGGTTGCCAAGTGGAGAGCCGTTCTCACCAAGACAAATGGGAGAGCTGTGCAGATAGGCCAGTAGGGAGAGCCGTGAAAGAAAACAGGTGGACCGAGCCGCATCGAAAGAAATGGGCCGAGCCCCACTTCAACACTTTTGGGCCGAGCCGTGTATCGGTGCGGTGGGCTAGATCATGTCTCCATGACAAGTGGGCCGAGCCGTGAAGAAGGCTAGATGGGCCGAGCCGTAAAGAAGCTTGGACGGGCGGAACCAAAGCCTTGAGAGATGAAGCCCATGGAAAACCCTAGGCGAGATGCAAAGGCGGTCAGCCGCACGAGGCGATAAAGAAATATTCCGAAAATCTCGTCCGAGATTTTCGGCTAGGCGGTTTAGAAAGTTAGTATAAATATATGATGTATGCAATTCATTCCGCCAACTTTGGTAACCCTAAGCAATAAGACTTACACACTTTCACAGCAATAAAAATCCTCTTTTGATCTTACTGTTCTTGCGATTACCCTAGAAGTTTCAGATCCCTTAGTTTCTCTTCACAAATTCTTGGTTGTGCGAGTTTTGGCTCACACAGTTGATTAAATGGTTATTAATGTTTCTAAAATATTCAATGTTTGATTCTCTAAAAATGCGATTTTTACAGATTAATGGAAACAAGTTTATAAAAAATTTCCAAAGCCAAGTAGATCCTTTTGAGGCAAAAAGAATTGTCTATTATTAATATGTTATTATATTTGTTCTCATAATTTATAATAAAATAATAATATATATTACAAAATAAATCGACTAATCATTAAATTCTCAGTATATTTTAAAAAATTATTACCCATAGTTAGGTTAGGCTCTTGGGTGTAAAGGATATTTTACCCATATGCATATAAATCAGTAGCCCAATCATATCCAAGGCGAGATTCTGGTCGAAAGATTTATCATATATTCGAAGTCTCCCCAAACTCGAATTAAAAAACATTATTCCACAACCCAATTGAGACAGAGAGAGAAGTAGAATCTCTGTGTTCTTCATCTTGAATAGGCAAGAAGGTGAGGGTGAAGTGTATAAGGAGGAAGACACCATCGGAGATCTGAAGAAGCTCATGGCGGCACAGACCGGACGGCATGGCCCTCGATATCTTCTACAAACCAATGAATCCTAATGGTAACATCCTTTATGTACGTCGTGATTATTTTAGGTGAAAGGTTAAATTTGTTATGCAAGATTAATTTTTGTGTATCAAATTGTAATTTGTAAGTGCTTGACTTTATTCCAGTAATTATTTTGTATGTGTTAACAATTCAGGCATGATCATTCAATAATGATTTACCATTTATGGGAAATTGATATAAGAAAGTGTAAAATAATTTAATATCGTTGTTGAAAGGAAAAACGGCCTATTTCCTATGAATTTTTTACCTTCTGATTATTCATACACGAACTAATACACGAACTATTGAACTATGCCTTTAACTATATGAACTATTTAATAATTTGATTTTTTAGATGAAATATTGAACGGCCAATTTCATCAAAAACATAAACAGTATTAATTTTCCGACAATAATTAATGACATGGTTGACAATATCATTGGTTTATTATAGTATATGATGTGGTCGTTTTTACGTCATTTTAATGGTTTTTTAAAAAATGCATTCGCTGAGTTTTGAAGACACAACCTTTCAGCAAATTTAATTAACACCAGACTGAGCTAAAGATATTTATTAATTATAGTCATCGAATAGTGTTTATATAGATATCCCATCACACCTTCAGACTCATTATCGCTATCATGCGATCTCCTTCGCCTAATCCTAGAGCTCTTACTCTTTCTCTTCCTTGATCTCAAGTCATCAGATTCAGATTCCGACTCTGACTTGCCAGAATGAGACAACATTCCCTGTCTTTACCTTTCGGGTTATCATCCCTTTCCAGAATCTCGTCGGAGATCTCATCGGAGTCCTCGTTCTGATCTCTAGACGGGCTCGGCGTGTTCTCCCAAAAGCAGAACCTTCCCGGTTTTCACATCTTAAGCCGTTTACTCCTCCTGTATTCCTCGTGGCTCAGTCGTGACTCAATCCTTTCAACTCTTCATCGGGTTTCAAATATTCTGCAGAGAGAGAAAGAGTTATAGGATATCTATATAAAAGTGATTAGATAATTATAATTATTAAATGTCTTTAGATCAGTTAGTATGGTGTTGTCTGCGGTTTTGTTGTTATTGAAAAAAAAACATATTTCATGTAGTTGAAGACATGGTTCAATAGTTGATAATCAAGAGGCATAAGTTCGTGGAAAAATAGGCTGTTTCCTTTGTCCAAAACTCCAAACTCTAGATGCAGAATACATTTACAAGAGAAACACAAACATATCTGTTTTGGAAATATAAATAAATGGAATATTGTGAAAGAAATGAAACCTAAAAGTGTCCTGTTTTGTCCTAAAACTGATGAACACAGAGTAAACCCTAATTTCAAATAAATGAGATAATTGTGAAATGGAACCTAAAAGTGTCATGTTTTTTTTTTTTTTTGAGTGAAATGTGTCCTGTTTTGTCCCTAAAACTAATAGAAAACAGAGTAAACCCTAATTTACTAGTACAAGTCTGATACGAATCTCACTAAACGCTAGTTCCTCTTTCTTCTGATTTCCATAACCCTCCGATGAAAATTCGAATGGAGGTTTGGTTTGAAACCGGGACTTGAAGCAGGACGGTACTCGGGAAGTAGTCGTCCTGTTCTGTATCGCATCCCGCAAGCGTTGCAAAGCGTTCCCGCACCTTTGGGACCTTCCCTCCATAAGGGTGTGTTTCTCGTCCCACAATGTAAACAAATTTTGTCTGTAACGTCAACTTCAGAATCAAAGAGATAAGCCGTACTCTTGAAGAACCGTCTTTTTCGTCTTCCTCTCTTGTTTCTCGGCCGTTTTGGTGCAAGAGACCGTACTCTCGTCATAGTTGGTGAATTTGAGGAGGTTCTAAACGGTTTTAAATCGTTTGTTACATTGATAGATACGTTGTGGCTAAGATCTTCTTCAAACTCTCGATAATCTTCAAGCTAAAAACACATTGAAGAACATACATTGAGTTTTGTTTATACTTTATACTCCAAAACAATGAGAACATGTCTTTAATTGTCGAAATAAACTCACTAGTGAATTTGAATCTTTCATGATTTCTCTTATTTCGTCATCGATGGAGTTTTGTTCCAGTTCTTCGTAAGGGATCTCAAGTTTCTGCATCGCAGCTCCGAAATCTTCTTCTTCTTCATGCACAACGACATCCTTGTGTGCCATCTTAGCTTGGTTGATTAGAAAATTAACTTTATACCTTTTGACTTCTGTGTAATGTACCTTTTGACTTTTGCTCTTGCTCTTGCTCTTGCTATTATATACGTATATCCCTAAAGGAAAGAATATTATAATAGAATATGATAGTTGAAGTTAACATAAAATGGATATATTCATACGAAAAGAAATCGGAAACCTTCTCGCCTGAGAATTCTCCGGTGGAAGAGAAAAGATAAGACTAGAATGTTAGATACCTTATCCAGAATGTTCGAGTGCTTATCTTAGATACTCTTTCTTCTCAGGAAATCGGTTTGCTTTGGTTTGGTTTTGACGATTTTCCCGGATAGTTCGGATATAAGAAGTCATCAATCTAAGAAACAAAAAAAAAATCTATTCAGTACATCTCGGTCTGGTTCAGTTTGAATATTTTAATAAAAACGGCTTAGTATCAAATTAACTAAAAAAGTAACAACGCAAAAACTGCAATAGTTTAAATATTATAGCCAAATAGTCTCAAGTTATTTCAGTAATTCAGATATTTTAAATAGATTACGGTTATTTTGAATGTAACAATAATTAGTACTATTCGTGGATTAATCATCGTAATCTGAGTATTTCACTGATTTCAAATCTATATATAACTAATATTTTCAGATTGTATCTCGGTTGATTAGTTCTCAATTCGGTTTTAGTTCAATCCTGATATCGAAATGTTTAAAGAAGGAACGACTATCTTAAATCAAATTAATGAATCTCGACTCAGTAGAAGTTCAACCAAAGAGGTTTCCCAATTAGGTTTGATTTCTTCGGTTTCGAGTATGACTCTGACATACTCTTTCTAAACATCTTTGGTTTAAAAATGTTTTATTTGTGGTTCAAATTGGTGCATTTAAATCGAATTAAACCAAGGGGCAAAGCTAGAGACAGTTGGTTCATGTTGTCGGGTTTGGCTCGGCCCGTTTTTATCGGTATAAGTTTATCCTATTTAATCCGGTAAGATCTTAATTACAAAATAATTAAGACAATATCTATTAATTGAACTCCATATTATTCTTTTTAAGAAAAACACCTATATAATTACTGCATGTATATTTTGAAATTTGTGGATAAACCTAAGAACATAAAGATCATAAAGATCAATAAAGAGTTTTTGTTATGCCAGTGTGTTCTATGCGGTTAATAGATAAGGGGAACCAAGCTTCTCTTTTCTTCATCTTCTCTCAACGGAGAAACCTATATTCTACTGTATCTGAGAATGGAGGGTAAAGAGATGCAACACTTTTTTAGGCGAGCCAGATTGGAGGTTTAGTTTGGTTTTGGTAGTTAAATATTGTTTAATCTGATTTGAATAGTTAGTAAAAATAGAAGAATAAAAATGAAGAATATGTAAAAACTTAGATTGTAAATGAACTCCAGCGTAATCCCAACGTTCCATAATTTTTTTTTTAAGTACAAGCTAGATGAACTTCTGAAAGACCATGTCTGTCGTAATCTAAATTTTATATTTATAAAGAATTAAAACTAAAACATATATCTATATATCTAGTGAATAAGTGGATTATCTCTTTACCTAAAAAAAAGTGGAATATCACTTAAATTTCATTTCACATCTCTTTTGCCACATATATTTTTTTCGGCAAGGACCACTAAAAATTAATAATGAAGTTAGCCTTGTGGTTCAAATCAAAATACATATTGCGTTTGATTGAGCATTCCACACTTGCACCAAATTTGAACGTGATACTAAATCTATCTTAACTCCACTCTTTTTGTGAAATGTGATCACTGGAGTGATTAAGTTACAGATCAGAATCAAGATGACGATTTGGTTCTGTCTCAGTCAGGAATCTGTTTAAAAATGTAGTCCAGCTTGCAGCCAATGGATGCTCTATTGTTGCTTTCGAAATTTGAAAAAACTGACTTCACGACCAGCTTAGTATCTCAAATTCCGGGCAGGTTCCCACACTACATTGAGCTATTCATATGCATCATTGGCCATTTTGTGGTATGCTTGCACAATTGTTACAAGTGAAAAATATCTCTGATGCTGATTAATGTGCCTCTGAGTAAAAAATTAAAATATCTCACAAGGCATCAAGACAAGCAATGAACTATATTCAATATCTGCTCGACCACAATGGTATGAAGTATGAATCTCCTTCGGCGATCCACGTTCATTGCGTCAAGTACTTTAAAAATCTTCTGGGTGGTGATGTTTCTAGCAGCTTGTTCATTCAAGAGGATATCTCGGCCCTTCTTAACTACAGCTGCTCTCATGATCAAAGTGCCTGGCTCGAGAGTGATTTCTCTGCTGAGGAGATCAAATCGGCGTTCTTCTCGCTTCCCAGAAACAAGACATGTGGACCGGATGGATTTAGCGCTGAATTCTTCATCGGATGCTGGTCCATAATTGGTCCTGAGGTGATTACTGCGGTAAAGGAATTTTTCAGGTGTAGAGCTATGTTAAAGCAGCTGAATGCAACAACCCTTATCCTGATTCCAAAGATCATTAATGCTTCAAACGCCTCTCAGTTCTGACCTATATCCTGCCTAAACACAATCTATAAGGTGATTTCAAGGCTTCTGAGTGCTAAACTACAGGGAATTCTCTCTTCCGTTATCTCGCATTCGCAGTCAGCTTTTATTCTAGGAAGGCTTCTCTCATAAAATGTCCTCCTGGCAATGGAAATAGTGAAAGGGTACAATAGAAGGAATCTCGAGAGAAGAGGTATGTTAAAGGTGGATTTTCGGAAAGCTTTCGACTCGGTCCGCTGGGATATCGCGGCATTGAGAGGTCTACATATCCTGAAAAATTTATCTCCTATATCTCACAATGCATTACTACCGCCTCCTTTACTGTCTCCGTCAATGGGCAATCTAGCGGTTTTTTCACAAGCACCAAGGGTCTAAGACAAGAAGACCCATTGTCCCCTTATCTCTTTGTGTTGGTGATGGACGTGTTCTCAAGACTGCTGCATTCTCGCTTTGCTTCAGGTTACATCTTGTATCACCCGAACACAGCGGATCTGGAAATCTCACACTTAATGTTTGCTGATGACGTGATGATTTTCTTTGACGGGAGCTCTTCTTCCTTGCACGGGATTAGTGAGACTCTAGACGATTTTGCTTCTTGGTCAGGCCTTCATATGAATCAGGATAAGACCCAGCTATTTGTCGCAGGTTTGAACCACGATGAAACCACTGCAATTGCAAGCTATGGTTTCCCGAATGGTACTCTACCTATTAGATATCTGAGCTTGCCACTTATGCACCGGAAACTAAGATTATCTGAGTATACTCCGCTATTGGATAAGATAGCCAGAAATTTCAGAGCCTGGTCTGTAAAATTTCTTTCTTTCGCTGGAAGATTACAGCTTATCTCCTCAGTAATTGTTAGAGTAGTCAACTTCTGGATATCAACTTTTATATTGCCTAAGGGCTGTATCAAAAAGATTGAGTCCCTCTGTACTAGATTTCTGTGGGCTGGGAAAATTGATGGTCGATGTCAGGCGAAAGTCTCCTGGGATATTGTCTGCTTGCCTAAAATAGAAGGAGGATTGGGCCTTCGCCGCATTGTGGATTGGAACAGAACGCTCTGTCTTAGATTGATTTGGCTCCTTTTCTCCAAAAGCGGTTCACTATGGTTGCATTGCAAAGACATCACCACCTTAGAAGAGTAAGCTTTTGGGCTCTTGAGGAGAATCAATCTGATTCTTGGACTTGGAAATCTTTGCTAAATCTCAGAGACTTGGCGATAAGGTTTGTTAAATGCTCTGTTGCTAATGGGTTGACAGTTTGTTTCTGGTATGATGTGTGACTCCTCTCGGGCCACTGATAAAATCTATGGGTATTGAGGGTCAAAGGAACATGCGGTTACCGCACCATGCTCTAGTGGCGTCTGCTTGCAATGAACTTGGCTGGAATCTGTCATCTCCCAGATCTGATGCTGCTCTAGCTTTGCATACACATTTGACTACCATCGCTCTCCCAAGTTTGTCAAACGATGAGGACTCGTTCGCTTGGATTGTTAATAGTGTGAATTGCAATGGTTTTTCAGAAAAGCATACATGGGAAGCGATCAGACCAAGAGATTCTATTAAAGACTGGGCTAAATCTATCTGGTCCCAAAGCATGCGTTCACGATGTGGACGGCATACCAGAACAGGCTCCCTACAAAAGATAGACTTCTGGCATGGGGAATGCAAAGCCCGAGTGCCTGCTGTCTCTGCTCTGTGTACAATGAAAACAGATATCACTTGTTCATTCAATGCGAATACAGTGCAGAGCTTTGGATAAAAGCACTGATCAGACTGAATTCTCACCATCCGCAGTTCTCATCGTGGTCAGATATGATGGCTTGGGAAAATGGGCGATCATCTTCGGCTCCTTCTACTCTTCGGAAATTGGTGGTTCAGACAATGATGTATAACATTTGGAAAGAGAGAAACAGTAGACTTTTCAACCATACAACACTCCCGGCGACCCAATTGTTCAAGGATGTTGACCGCCAGGTCAGGAATGCTATCTCCGCAAGAAGGCATCGTAAGAAATTTGCAAACTTAATGCCTATGTGGCTCTGCTAATTGGTAGTTAAGTGGTGTAAGTTGCTATCTTCGCGCTTCATTAAATCAATTGTTGTAATGTTTTTTTCTTTATTTTTGCCGTGACAACAAGTCTGGTTCATTGTATGTAAAACCTTTTCTCATGTATATGATTTACGATTTGGCAAAAAAAAAAAAATATATATATATATATACTCTATAACACTAACTCATATATTTTGTTTTCCTCTCTACGCTCTCGATTTTCTCTTTCGATCATTTCTCTTAATTCTTCTCCAGTTTTCAGTCATGTCTCCGTTCATCTCCAGTCTTTTTTTTTTTTTTTGGATGATTGTAACAGCTTTGATATTGACCACTCATAGCAATACATTCAATTGTGCTCCAGCAGATGTACCTCAGGCCTTCTTTGCCAACAGGGTTTCGCCGGTGAGTTTTTCTTTTCGATCAAATTGATTTTGCTTTTCTATGCATCTATTGCTTGTTTAATTATTGGAAATTGCTTAGATATAGTGTATTGCTTGTTTAAGTATCGGAAATTGCTTAGATGTGATGCATTGTTTGTTTAATTATCAGAACTTTGGATCAAATTACTTTACTTTACTTTTAGTATTAAGTTTACTATAGTTTTTTTTATTGGTAAAATCATTTGTCAAAATATAATTAGATTATATATATATATATATATCTTCTTATATATATACTAATAAAAGTTGAAGCTATAAGTTTCTCAATGCGTCCACATAGGATTTAAGACTTCAATTTTATTGGTCCACGTCAGCATTCAAAATTAAGGAAAGTTTACAAATTCTAATATTATTAATAAATAAAGAAATTAAGAAAGTTTACAAATTCTAATATTATTGCTGAATAAGGAAATTTTATATAATTTTTTAGTTGGTCAACCTCAACATTGAAAATTAAATAGTTTCTAAATTTTATTATTATTTTTTTAAATTATTAAAGATAAAAATATTATATAAAAATTTTATATTAATAATAAAAACCTAAAATAAATTATATTAAAAAAGAAATTTTAAATTTAAATTAGATTTATACACACATATTTAGAGACTTTATATTAGCATCAAAATTTTTGTCACATAACTATAATAAATTTTAAATTTTTTTTTTCTGTGTATGCAACTAGTTCAAATAAAAAACAAAAAAATAGAGTTAAGTTTCACTAAAATATGAGTCATTACAACGTAAAAGAACAAACTTGACTAAACTATATGTTTAACTATAATAAAAGGAGATATAAACAAAACTATTATAAACCGCTTTAATATTGAAAAGAGACCGTAAAATCTTCAAAGCTTAGCAACAAAATTTGAGAAGAATGATAAATTTCATGCAATCCGAGAAACATGTCAAATGATTGATACTCGACACTTTTGAAAAACTAAGCACTGAAAATAGAGAAAAGAACATAGCGTAGAAGACTCAGATATCTGAGGAAATTTTTTGAAATAACATAGCATCTGAATGGGTTTTAACAACCCAACCTGAACCACAAAAGTAACAATTAGCTGACCAAGTAGCATCGAACATATTCGGTAAGCCTCAAAACAAAGAAGAGATGCTAAAATCACTTGCCGCAACGGATATCGGGTGAGATTTTCCAGTTTTGATTTCTAAATTTATTACTAAAAAAAAGTTAAAGCTATATGCCTCTAAGAATGTCCACATATTATTTAAAAGTTCAATTCTATTGGTTTACATCAATATTTAAAATTAGAAAAATTTTAAAATGTTAAATTATATTGTTAACAAACAAATATAAAAGTTGAAGTTATATACCTCTAAAGACATCCATATATGATTTAAAATGTCAATTTTATTATTCCACATCAATAACTAAAATTAAATTGTTTTCTAAATTATAAAATTACATTGTTATTACAAAATAATATAGAAAAATTGTTAATTAGAACTATTCTATTATTAATGATAGTTAAAGCTATATTATTTTCAAGATATCCACATCAGCATTTAAAAAATAATTTTTATTCGTATATATCAAAATTATAAATTAAAAAAAGTTTTGTAATTCTAATATTATGATTAAAAAAATATATTAAAAATAAAGAAATCTCTATTAAAAAAAAATCAACATGATATTAAAATCTCCATTATCACTGTTTAAATCACAAATTTAATTTATTATCTATAAAAACATATATGATACTTATACAAGTTTAAGTTACTTGATTTTAAAGCTTTTCATGTAGAATATTAAATAACTAATATTTATGATTTATATTCATCTAATTTTTTCACATATGCAAAACATTATATTATGCGAAAATATATAATATTTTTTCTCATGTAATATATTATGCAAAAATGATCAAAAAATTTACAATATATATATATTCATTTTGGAATTCAATAGATTAATGTAGAATTTCTTAGTTTTCAGTTGTTCAATTTGTTTTTCATTTTTATAAATTTGTAGGTACTAAATTGTACTGGTTTTGTCTACTTAATGACAATTAGAAGTGAAAATGAATATGATGAAACTGAATATAATCATACAAAATTATTAAAATAAATAAATACAATAAATTCATTGAAAAAATAGATATAACAAGAATAAAAATGAAGAAGATGAAAAAACAATTTCATTCTTATTAGAAGAGATGATGTATAATGATTGAAAAATTATTTAAAATTTTACATTACCAATTGACAAAAATATATTTATTCACAAATTTTGTGTGATTTTATTCATTTCATATTCAACTATTGTTTTGGTTTCAAATTTAAAGTTGTTATTAATCTCAAAGCAAGTATTCTATTTATTAGTTTGTTTTTTAAATTAATATATTAAAATAAAAATTTGTATTTGTTAAACAAGATAAGAAAAAAGATTATATTTTAAATTATATTTTTCTTATTTTTAAAGAACATATATATAATTAAAATAAAAGTGAAAATTATGGAAAATGTTTTATTTTATTTAAATAAGTGAATATATAATATTTTATTATCATGTTAATATTATGTTTAAAAGTAACATTTGATTAATTTGTAAAAAATTTAGTTGGTTTTGGTATATTACCTTATAAGTGTTTGACCTAATAATATATTTTTGAAATATGATATATTGTATATAGATTCAAAACAAAATCGTTAAAAGATCACAATTTATATAAAAATTATTAGGTCAACACTATAATATTTTAATATATTATTAAAACACTAATATATATAATTTATATCTTAATAAATATAATTAATTGCATATAATTTTTATCAACAAAATATCCACGCGTAGCGTGGATACAAAATCTAGTATATCTATTAAAAAACTGATTGATTGATTTTATACATATCACGATCGGGTGAATTAACGATTTTAAAATTTTTTAATTTATATAATAAAATATATTTGTTGAAGATATAACATTCTAATTTATATAATAAGATATATTTGTTAAGGATATATGTATATATATATGTTATATATATATGTGTGTTTGTAAAAGAAAACATACTACTTTTCGATGGATTTTTTAGTGAAAAATTTGTCGACGTAATTCTAGTTGATTTTTTTTTCCTGTGAAAAAATAAATTTTATATATATCATGATATTTTTCAAATGAGAAACCAGTAGTATAAATATCAGAAAAAAAATTAGTATTAGTTGTTTCATAAATCTTATTAAATTAATTGACTACTTTTTATATAATTGGCCTAGGACTACAGAAACCCAAAGCAAAACCCTGATAGTACTATACCTTGCATTTTACAACTAAAATTATTACATTTTAGTTAAAATTCAAGCACATGAATCAATTTCATTCGAGCTACAATTATTTCATTGAAAGCATTTTGTAAATTAAATAAAAACTATGTATGATGAAATTTGGTTTTTTTAACTTAGAAAAATTGGCAAGCTGACTGAGGTTTGAAGGTACTAATTCAATTGATGTAGCCACCTTATCATATAATTCATGTTCAACTTCAAACTTGATAGAGTGCATGCTTAAATTATAAACGATATCAGTCAATACCAATCTAAAATTATAAAAATTATTTTTTGTAACTAATTAGAAAATTCATCAAGCATCTAGAATGACTTAAAACGCACCATTTAAATATAATTTGGCGAA